AAACGGATGATGGCTGATTTTTTTTTCTAACAAGAGCTTTCTCTTCCCTCATTCTATAACTCAAGCCATTCGACCTTGACTGTTCCAGGTTTCCAACAAATTCCAGCAACATCGGAAAAAAAGTAGAACAGAAGGAATGCAATGATACAAGAATACAACTGAAACACAACTGCTAGAGAATCAACTTTGCTCCTCTGATACAACGCCGCATTTATCAACATTCCAGTTCCAGACACTGTTTTGTTTCAACATCTGCTATTATCAGCTCAAAAGAGTATTATTGCTAATACGGATCATAGCTCGTGGGCTCAACAGTCTTTAATTTTACTACTGGCTGTACCTTTGAACGAACTCTAAGAGATTTTGCCTACTGCTTATGAACTTGGTATTGACCTCAATATTATCATTACAGTAACATTGCTTTAGGTGAGCATAACAGCAAATATCATTTGTGGTAACCTAGCCTATTATAAGTAAGTTATTGAACTAATGCAACTTTTCTGCTTTATTAAGTAAGCAAGCTTTAAAATACAAAATACAAATGAAGTTGGTTCCTCTGATCACGGGTTCCTAACATAAAATTTCGGCTAACAGAATAAGTTGGTCTTTTCTGGTCACACCTTTGTCTAACTACTTTCAAACCCAACATTAAAAAAGGATAAACAAAACGCAAAATACTGCAGATGCTGGAAATCTGACACAAAAGCAGAAGTCACTGGGAACACTCAGCAGGTCAGGCAGCATCTAGAGAGAAAGGAAAGTGAGTCAACGTTTCAGGTCCAGGACCCTTCGTCAGAACTGAGGATAGCATTTTTCATGAGTTCCACATATGTGCAAACATTTATAATGGGCGCTACAACTACAATATAAAAAAAGCAATATAAAAAAGGGATTACCAGAAGGCATTATCAACTCTCATGAAGCAATTGCACCAAAACTGAGGAATAACCAGACCCTCCTACTGCACCTAGATGCAGAGTGGTCAATTTTTTCCCGTCACTATTCAGTGTTTTTTTTAATAAAACAGGAAGGTTTTGAAGTCCAAAATCCTCAAACTAAAGGCAGTAGAAAAACTGTCTGGAATTTCAGTCTCTGACTAGTTATTTTTTATTTTATAAATTGTTATTCTATCTTACAATTTTTATACCACAAATCGTAGCTAGTTCATTAAATAATAATGTGCCATTCAGGATCAGCTTTTCTGCAATAAACAGCTCAAACATACCGACATTATTGCTATTAAGCAGAATTGATGTGGGGAGCAAAATGCAACCTACAATAGAAGGAAATTAAGTTAAAATACTGGACAAAATAGCTGTTGTCTGTTTAGTAATCCCGTGAGTTATGACTTCTGATTCCATTAATGGCACTTAAAAGTAGAAAAGTCACCAACGACTGAACGGTGTGCTTTGCAGAACGTTCTATCTAAGGAGGTCAGGTTGGAGAGAGCAGATACTCCAGCCACAAGGTTTAGAACTTGAAATTATGAACAAAGACTTGTCAAACTCCTGTTCACAATGGGGGAAAAGGCATAAACTTGGAAATGTTAGGAGATTAGTATTACCTTAGTTGTATGTAAACATGTAGATAATAATAAAAGGATGAAATTTATAAACACCTACAAAGGCAGGGATTGAGCTATAAAGATTCAGTATTGATTTTGAAACAGCATATTAAATAATAATAATCGCATGATACAGCACCTCTCATGTCAGGATGACATCTCAAAGCACTTTCCATGATATACTGTAAAGAGTAGTGACAGTTTACTTTGTAGGCGATTTATGATTTAAAAAGTAGGTTGCTTTGTAGGTTGTGATTGACTAGTTTAGATAGAACATGCGTTATAGTATCGTGTGTCAAAATGTCTCAAAGCATTTAACAAGTAATTACTGTGACTGTTTCTGTAACTGAACAAGACAGCTATTTGGCAAGATTCTTCAAACAAGTCATGAAGTAAATGACCAATTAATATGAAGGATTGTTACAATAATCCATAATAATCCTTGCATTTGATTTAGTGCCATATCACGTCTTTGAGATGTCTCAATGCGCTTCACGGAATATACTGTAAAGTGAATTGACTGTATATTTTGTGGCAAAAAAACAGCAGTCAATTGCATACAGTAGGGTCCCACAAGTAGTCGTAGATTGAGTGAATAATTTTTTAAAAGGAATTATTACCCCCGGAAAAGCAATCCTCCAGTCAACTAACAACTGGCTTCCTACTTACTGCGAGACCAACAGAGATGTGTGGAGGAAGGAAACTTGCCCAACGTTTCACCGTGCCGGGAATGAAACTCAGGTCTCTCACTCGCTGAGGCAAGTGCTCTAACCACTTATCTACAGGACTCCACTGTTGGCTAGGAAACTTACATCTTTTCTCTTTTCAAGAGAAAGATACCTCATTAATGGAGTTCCAATGTACTGCACTGGAATGCCAGCCTAGATGAGGAATTCAAGCTTGTATGGGGCATCAACTACAACATCTGGTCCAGAGATGAGGGAGAAAACAAATGAGCCAAGCTAACTATTACTGAATTTTGCACAGAAGTCTTAATGTGTGTAGAGATGTGGACTTTCAGAAGACATTTAATTAAGTCCTTGATAATTGCATGGCTTCAATTCATGAATGGGCAAATTTGTATTTCTCTGATTATTATATTTAGTGGCATGGCTTAGGGGGTCTGGGACTTCTACCATTTTCATTTATACTAAAGATATGAAATTACACATAGGAAAAATAATTTCTGAATTTATCAATGGTATCAAATTTAGCAAGCTAAAGAAGCATGCCGGAAATCAGAGTTTAGCAAATTTGGCAGATAGGTATCAGTATAATTTTATGAAATTGAAGCAATACATTTTGAGAAAAAATATAAGGAAAGGCAATATGTCCTAATATAATAATAATAATCCTTGCATTTGATATAGCGCTTTTCAGGCCTTCTCGACGTCTCAAAGCGCTTCACAGAATAGACTGCAAAGTGAATTGACTGTATATTTGTGGGTGAAATGCGGGAGCGGTGTCCCACAAACAGTCGTGGATTGAAAATGACCAATTTATTATTGTTTTGGAGGGATTATTATTAGGCTCTGTGTGGAGTAAGGAAACTTGCCCAAGGTTTCGCCCTCTGCCTGGAATTGAACCCAGGTATCTCGTAGCTCTTAATCACTTAATCATGTTGTGGAGCAGAGGGATCCAGGGATGCACAGGTATAGATTTTAAAAATCAGCAATCAAATTAGAAGTAGAAAAGGACAGGGCTCTGGGTTTTATATATAGGGTCATTGAATACAAAAATGAAAATAATTTAAATTGATAAAAGATATAGTTTATAGTTCAGTTGGAATCCCACGTGCAATTCTGGGTCCCATTACAGAAATGATATCAGAAAACAGCTTACCCGATACAAACATAGAAATCATGAGGGATAGGCCTAGCGAGATTATCCACTTTAGATATGGTTTGCATTCTAAATTCATGCTCATCTCACAGTATACATTACTATGCATCCACCAGAGGAAATCGCTAGGGTTCTTTTCCTGTAACAAGTTTGTTTCCCTGGTGACCTTCACCTCTCCTAATATGACTTCATTTCTCATTTCAAAGGAAGCAGGGTGACACCCAAAATAAATGGCACAGAAATTGACTAATCAGTATTTAGGAAGTTCCAAGACTTAGCAGGTCAGCAGAATGAAAGATGGGCAGGTTGGGAAGGCCGTCTGAAATGGAAGTTGAAGTTCAGTTGAAGTCTGACCTGCTCATTTTTCTTCATCCGTGTACAGTAGCAGTATACCAATGTGGTGCATAACGTTGCTAGGTTTATGCTAATCAGCTTGGAACACCAAAAAACTGCTCTTATTTTGGGGTGCCAAGTTAAGTCGATAGTGCTCAGTTAATCCCACCAATTTTCACTTCCCCCTCTCATGGAAGCACTGAATCATCCATAGGTTACAGTTCTAAGAGCAGCAGCCAATACCTTATATCTAGCTATTGAGTTGTGGGGGCAATGCAGGTGAGACAATTGCTGTCGTCACACAATATTTACATGTTCCTGCAGGGGTCAGTATGAAATTCTCACATTTGAGATAATTAATTCCTAATTATAGTTGAATTTTTTTTCAAATACAACAAAATGTTCTGGTCTCGTGCATTCAGATCACCCATCATAGGCAAGTGTCCTACTCATTGCTCACTCCCAGAAAAGAAGCTTATCCACTAATAAGATTTTCATTCTTTGAAGCAATAACATCCACCAGACACAACAGGATTACGTTCAGTTAGACCCATTCTGCCGTCTGAATTGAAAGATACCCCCCTTTAAGAGATTCCTTTCCCCATATGTTGTTTTCACTCTTAATATATCTGCAGCTACCTGCACTTATCAATTTTCTGACCAATACGAGATAAAGGGGACATAATAGCCATATTCTTAACACATTCCATTGCATATTTAAGAATAACATTAAATGAATTTTGAAATTCTCCAGCTTCTAAATAACGATAGGAACCAAAACATACTGAAGAGCCCTGGCATTAACACCTGTACTCTGCAAAGATCATTTGAGCATCAAAACAGTCTGAATTTTGGCCCAACTCAATCTGCTTTAGGACTGTATCTGGTGAATAAGCCTGAAGTTTTCCCTTGGGCTAACATCTGCAGGAATAAATTTACTAGAGATCTTTTTGACCTTTTTATCCTGCACAATGATTTACTTAGGTAATGTACACTGGGTTCATAAGTACTTTTTGTTGCTGATTTTTGTAAAATAATCTTGGCCAGTAATTCGAGTTAGTGCATTGAATTTGATCGGTTCTGCATTTCATGAATCATAAGTCTTACTGACCTTGGTTAATCATCAATGCCAGTAATATTTCAATTTAGCAATCTAAGACCTTCAGAAATTATTTCCAAACTTGTACTTCGCTAAATTATTAACTCACAGAAAATAAAAACAGAAATATTTATGCAAACAATACCTGTGCTGGTTACATACCTGTGCATTCCAGCTTTTATTTAGATAATATATACAAGTGACACATCTTCCATCTCCATTAGGATTATCAACATGGCGCACGTATCCTGTTCCTTTCCCTGGGTAACATGCCACCATTGCCTGTAATCAGTGAACAAATATGTAAACAATAGTTACAACAGTTACATTCCAAACTAGAACTATTGTACAAGATGGCAGTAACCTCAGTGGTGTTTTCGGAAACTTATCTGTTCAAGGTTATTGTACATTCTGCATTAATCTAATTCAATTTATTTCAAACTTTGGTTAGCAAGGCCTGCCTTGCCTCTTTGTGAGCATGTTTCAATTTACTGTTTTCAGATTTCCCCTTCACCATAACAACTTGAATTATAATAAAAACAACATTTTAATGCAAGAAAATCAGTCAAAAAATTTACATTCTGAAATCATTGTAATTCTTTAGTAAAGTAAAATAAGAACCCCCACACACTGATTTAAACCAAACCATGAATTGAATAATCCAACACATACTTTATGACAAACTGAGATCATCCAGTGACCAAATTATTTTCCAACAAAGAAAAACTGTAACAAGCAATTTCAGGGTGACCAGCTTCTTCTGATTTTTAGTTTCCATGAAATGTGCATATGCAACAAAGAAACATTTTACAGAATCACCCTTTAAAAATACACTGGGCTCCCAAGAGATCACTACACTGCAGTTAACCAAGAAGGTGGTGTAACCTCAGTCCTGTGCAGTGAAATATTGCTAAATTTAATAATTTTACTGCCTGTATTTTTGCAAATTAAGCTCCATTCATGGAGAATAGGAGCTTCAATTTTTCCATTTCCACCGTTGCTATGTTCTGAAACAAAGTGAAAAATAGTTATAAACCGTACTCAAGCTGTAAAGTTATTAGGCCACACCAAGGATACTGTGCAAAGTTCTGGTCACCTTTGACATAAGAGGCTACCCAGGCTAGAGGTAGTGCAGAGTACAGCTATGAGGATGACCTATAGTGTTGCAGGAATGAGTTATGATATGAGCAATGATTAAAAGTTATCAGACCACACCTAGCACAATGCACAACGTTCTAGTTTCCTTTGACACAAAGAGGTTACCCATAAGATGGTTTTAGGGGGCCCAGGTTACACGAAACGGCAATTGGAACAAACCACCACGAAGGGCTTGAGCTTTTGCTCCCTTGAGACCAATCAGAGCCCTTGCTCCTTGTGGATCTTGTGGATTCCATCCTCACAGACCAATCACAGCCCTTGCTCCCTGCGGACCAATCACAACCCCCTTGGCTCTGGGACCCATTCGTTACTTGTGAAATCTGACCAATTGGGGTGAGGCCAATGGCGGGTGAGATCAGCCTTACTCATCAGGCATGCAGTACCCAGAGTTAGTGGAAATATTGTAAGCAGTACTTTTTATTTATTTTCTTTAATTATTTAAAGATGTCGTTTGTAATTAAAATAGGATACTCAATTTATATGGATTGACTGTGTGGGGGTTCCAAACAACAGCAAAGTGACATTTGTATAGTGCCTTTCAAGTCAGGAGTACGTCCCAAGGCGCTGGACAATCAGTGTTTCGGACCCAACATGGGGGTCAAGATAGGGGAGTTTGGAGAGCGGGGAGGGAAGGAGGGTGATCAAAGGCACGGTCGAAGAGGAGGGTCTTGAGACAGGTCTTGATGGAGGCAAGGAAGGGGGTGAGGCGGAGGGACTGCAGGATGGAGTTCCAGAGAGTGGGGACAGAGTGGCAGAAGGCCCGCCTGCCAATGGTGGGGCGGACGAGGTTGGGGACGTGAAGCAGGCTGGAGCCCGCTGAGTCAGGTTGCCTACTATCGGGGGGGGGGGGAAGATTTGAACCCAGACAATTTGGGAATCCTTGCCCTCCATCCTGCAGTGCAGAGAGCAATGGGGATGATCTCTAGTGTCAGAGCTAAGCAATGATTAGATGACCTATGGCTAGCCTTGAAAAGAGACTTCTCAGAGAGGGATGTAATAGAGATACACTAAAGTGAACACAGAATACTTTCAGATATGTCAAGGTAGGAGAACGAGTACACACAGGTTTAGGATTTCAAAAGGGAATTTCAAGGCAGACACCAGGACATTTTTACAGAGAGTGCAACTGACTGAAACAGATTACAGAAGAGTTGGGGTCAAGATGAGAAACTTGTACACTTGTTGGATGACCATCCAATGACTATCCTCCATATTGGAGGTGAGGGTAGCAAGTAGAGGTAAATGGGTCTCCTGGGGCTGGTCTAAATCCAAGGTTGCATGCTTGGCAATGGAATGCCTTGATAATTGGCAGTTCCTGAGTCAGACAAGAACGCAGTACTCCAAAGCTGCTTTGGTCTGTTGATAACAGACCAACTCGCCTGGCTTGTTGGCAGGACTTGAAGTGGAACACCAACAATAACAAATTACATTTGTATAGCACCTTTCACATCCGGAGGATGTCCCAAGATGCTGGACAGTCAGGGATCCGCACCCGAGCTGTTGGTTGAGATCAGGACGGGTGGAGGACGGCGAGGGTAGGAGTAGGAGGGTGATGGACTGCACAGTCGAAGAGGAGGGTGTTGTGATGGGTCTTGAAAGAAGCAAGGGAGGGGGCGCGAGGTCGAGGGACTATGGGATGGAGGTTCAGAGGGTTGGGACAGAAGCTGAAGGCCTGCCCACCAATGGTGAGGCTGGCAGGGTAGGGGAGGTGAAGCAGCCTGGAGCCCGCTGGGCAGAGGGACCGGACAGGTTGGTAGGGGGTTAGGAGGTCACAGAGATAGGAAAGAGCAAGGCCATGGAGGGCTTTCAAGTGGAGGACCAAAATCCTGAACTGAATCTTCTGATGGGGAGCCAGTGGAGTCGGTCGAGGACGGGGGGGATGATAGGGTCGCAGAGCCTGGTGTAGGAGAGGACACGGGCTGCAGACCAATTACTGGGGCTGAGATTCTTCACATTCAGCTCCTGTTAACTCTCTAGCCAAAGCCCTAATGGATAGGGTGATCCTAGGTGGGCAAGTAACTTGTCAGTCAGTATTTTCAATAGCAAGCTATGTGATTTTAGCTGGTTAACCTTAAGCAATGCTCCAATTCATACACTTGGATCCCAAGCCTTGGCTATTAACAACCTGTGCGTAATACTCTGCAGAATTACACAAGCATGGGGTGTCCCAAGAGAGGGAAAAAGAGAGTAAATACAATGCATTCCATTCCAGATAGAGAAATTTCTACGCGCAGCCCAGGTAGGTAAATATGTAAAAGTCTGGCCGGTTTAGATACTCTTAAACATAGTGATGGGTTTGTGCTTGTGTCAGACACATGGCTCATCAGAAATGAACTCTTGAACTTGTCATGTGATAAAGAAACAGGATCCCTAATAGATTAAGGCTAAGCAATTAAGATTATTACCGATTAAAGAAAAAACGCATTGATATAAATGGGTTGTCTTAAGTGTTGAGCAGATGTACTGCAAGACTGTTTTAACTACCTATACTCTTCTGCCAAATTTACAAAGCTCTTTGGCTTGTTAATCAAATCTAATCTACAATGAGGCAAACAAAATAAGAAAAGGAGAAATCAAGAAGGCTTAGCCCTCCTTACCAAAGCTTGCAGGGCGTTCCTATTACCTTCTACAACTTCTGTAAAGTGAAATCCGTCTAGTGATGGAACAAATCTCATTTACTTGTTCCATCACTAGATGGATATTCGCTTACACTAGATGGAATAAGTTTAGTTTTTTTAATCACACTATTTCAAGTTCAACAGTATTTACTGTCACATGATGCAACACAATAGTAGGACGTTGGTTAATGCCAGTGAGTGCTCAGATTTGGCTGTGTGCTTGAAGTGCTAAATAGAAAATTGGTGCTTCCAAAAGCAATGAAACTAGGTCAGAGGCTATTCTTTCTTTAAGCAGGTTAGAAGCTTTAGAACAATATGCATCTAGTCTTCAATGGAAACCAGGTACATGAATACATGAACTAAAAGGATCTAAAACAGGGAATTGTGTTTTTAAAAAAAGTATATAATAATCCTTAATTTGTTATAGCACCTTTCATATCAGGATGTCACGTACTGTAAAGTGTGTTTTCTAGGCGAAATATAGTCAATCTACTTTGCGTTACAGATCTTTGGGCGCTATATGCAGTAATAAGGTTTGTGAAGAGCATGCTTTTTAATACTATCAATTTTTTTTCACTCCACACATGAGAGAGTTTGAGTTTTTTTATGATGAGTAGATATAAGACTGTTTGGTATTAGGTATATTTAATGAATTCAGATCAAATCTGCCTAATAGATTGAATATCAAGAGATGAGTATAATTGAGACCATCTATGAATGGCTCATACAAAGACCTGCACCTCCAACAATGTAACACCATCCCTAGCACTGATGTGGAGTGTCGCCTTAGCCTATGTGAATTCAAGTCCCGATGTTGGGCTTGAATCCACAATCTTCTGACTCAAAGGCGAGAGTGCTACCACTGAGCCACCCTAGTTAAGCAAGTAATGGGTAAGCACTGCATATAAATTTCTGTTTACAAGGATTGAGCCACATATGGATGAGAAACCGTGTAAAGCTGAGAAACTGTACAGCCTTGACACTGGCATTCTATTCTGTCTGAACTTTCTGGATTGATGTAGGATGTTGAGATGCAGCTGCAGCAGCTCTTCTGCTTCTGGCATAAACTTAAAAGGCTGGTTTCCACGGGAAGGAAAAGCTAAAAAAAAAAGTATGTTCTGTTCAAAGTATACTACCAACAACAAGAAATAACTGTTGAAAAGTTTGCACAATTTATAAAATATATTTTTGAGGATTGCAGAGATCCATAGTTTCTGGTCATTTTTGCAAAGGAGAAAAAAATTGTGCGATTCCTGGAGCAACTCCATTTACTTCAATGAGGTCATCTATTTTGGACCTTCCTGTAAGCTAGTTTTAAACTGACAGAAGGAAAATACAAGGTGGTCAACCTATTAAAGTAAATATGGGCGCACAGACGGATCTCCCAAATTCCTGAAACGAATGTTAGGTACAAATGTTTTGCTTCTCGATAGTGAGGAGTGTAGGTACTTCAAATAATAGTATTCCTGACATTCTTTCCTGATTAAGTGGCAGTAATGCTTGTGC